CACACACACACACACACACACACACACACACACATATATTCTGCTCTGGCTCCTTTCCCAAATTACCTTCCTTCACCAAACACCCTTACTGCTTTCCCTTCATCTACACACAAAAGAAAACACTTCCCATAGGAAAGGCCCAAAGTCAAACTGGGAAGTTTTGAAAAACAGTCAAACTCTTCTGGACTCAATTGAGTCAACAAAGGCGTTGCTAGAAACAGTCTGGATGCACCGGGAGAATGACACAATGGTGCCCAGGCCAGAGAGGTGTGGCGAGAGCCCTGTGAAAGACACTCCCGCAGAACAAGCAGATTATTTACAGGGTGAGGACACGGAGGCCATTCCACATCCTCACGCTGTCCGGTCCCCTCTGATACTCTGTTTCCTGGCCAGTCCCCTCTGATAGTGTCTCCTGGCCACAGCAGAGGAAGCATCCCCGCTCAGTCAAGGAGGGGCAGACCAAGACCCACACAGGGGCCAATTCCCAGGCCTGGCTCTCACGGCCTCACACCCTTTATTTGTGTGCATCTCCAAATAAAACAGGAAGGCATGGGATCCTAGGTCATTAACCTAAATTCAAGCACAGGTTCAAGAAGATGCAGTTAACGGGCCTCTCCACCAGCATTCAGATTCAAATGATGTCCTTTGAACTTGCAGACATGAAAAGCTGTTGCTAAATGTTGCGCTTTCATTTGGCGCTGATTATTATAAGCGGTCAGTTGATGGAGCCATCAACAGACGCTCTGTTTGATCCCTTACAGGCTTTTACATTCAACTTGTGATGAATAAGCCAGTTGTCAAGAAGTCTGACACAGCCGAATACATTCCCCTTAGGTGACTGACAAATAGGTGCTGGTGGCAGTTTTTATTTACTTATTTTTAAAGTAATCTCTACACCCAACGTGGGGGTCGAATTCACTACTCCAAGATGAAGGGTTGCACCCTCAGGGCGCCTGGGGGGCTCAGCTGGTTAAGTGTCCGACTCTTGATTTCAGCTCAGGTCGTGATCTCAAGGTTTTTGAGTTCAAGCCCCACGTCAGGCTTTGTGCCAACAGTGTGGAACCTGCTTAGGTTCCCCTTCCCCTCTCAAAAAATAAGTAATTTTTTTTTTTTAGTTTATTTAAGACTCGTATGCTCTTACTCGACTGAGCCAGCCAAGTACCCCAAGGCAAGTAAGTATTCTTCATTCCAAGGTATTTCTATTGCTTCTCCTACTCTATGCTCCGTGCCTCATGCATCTGTCATGTGGCTGTCATAAAAATGTCTTCTTGAAGGGGGCTTCTTGAAGTCGGTTGAGTGTCCGACTTCAGCTCAGGTCGCGATCTTGCGGTCTGTGGGTTCAAGCCCCGCGTCAGGCTCTGTGCTGACAG